ATAACATAATATAATATAACATAATATAATATAACATAACATAATATATATAATTTCTGGTGTTGCACCAAAAATCAGGATTTTTCTTGCTGCTGAGAAATTGCGACATAATTCCATTTTCCCAAGGATTCCTTTTGGGAATTCCTGCCCTGGCCATGAGCTCTGCCTCTCCCTGCAGCCGATCCGGACAAACCTTTCCCGCTGGGATGGGATCTCGGCAGGGATGGAGCAGGATTTGGGTGGGAAGGGGTCAGTGGTGGCCTTGGGAAGCCCGGATCTCCAGGCAGGAATGCTGGAGGCAGGAGCTGGAAGCTCCAGGTTTGCAGGCTGTGAATCCCCCCAGGAGCCAGGGATGGAATTTTTGGGGATCCCCAGGTTCTCCACGCCCACAGGATGGGAAGCAGGATTGGTTAATTCCAATAAATTCAGGACTTTTTGCGCCTGGAATAAGCCGATTTAGCCAGGGAACAGCTCCATGGGGTCCTTTCAGGTGGGTTTGCATCAGATTCCATCTGGAATGGAATAAAAGCGGAGTAAAAGCTCCCATTGCTGACGCTCCTGCGATGGATCCAGGGAATTCACTGGGAAAACCTCCCTGGGAAAAAGCCCCAGGAAGGACAAAGCTCCTTGCTCCCGGCCCGGCAGCACCGCCAGGGATTTTGACACCAGACACCGGGATTTTTCCTGCCCTTGTGGAGCCGCTGGAGCCTCGGGGTTATTTTTATCCGGCGCTGGCAGCGACTGGAGAAGGACGCGGCTTCCCAGCCTTCGCTCCCTGCGGATCCCTGACTTTATTTGGGAAAAGCAAGGTGCTCCGGGCCAGCCGGGAAAAGCATCCCGGTGCTGGGAAGGGAGGAGAAGGGGAGCGAGCCCTTCGTGCCATGGTGGCGGCTGGGAAGGCAGGGAAGGAGTGAGATGTCCCGCCGGGATCGGGAGCGATCCGGGAGCCGGGGAGATGGACCGGGAGCGGGATGATGGAATGGGTGACATCATCAGGAAAGCAGCCCCGCCGCCCGGGGAGGGCAGCTATAAAAAGGTAAAGGGACAAAAAGGGACAGAAAGGAGCTTTTGTGCGCCAGCACAGCGGGAATGCTGCGGGAATGCTGCGGGAATGCTGCCCCCATCCCGCCCAGAGCGCTGCGAGAATCCAGGGATTTTTAAAGTGCTGCCGCAGGGCAAACCTTGCTCCTCATTTCCCTATTTCCCCATGATAAAACATCAGGGGAAGTTTGGAAAAGCTTTCTCCTAACTGGAAAACCCCGGGATTTTAAGGTATTTTGGGACGTGGCTCGAAAAGTTTGACTTGGGTTTGCATTTACCCCAGGAAGGAAAAAGGAGATAAATCCACATTTTCTGTGATCCTGCATGGTTTGGAAATCCCAGAATAGCCCTGGTGTTGTGCAGAGATAAAATGAGAGACTGGAATGGCTCTGGGAATTTAAATATAGCCCTGGGCTGGGGCTGGAAGTGACAGAGCTGGGCAAAAATAACCCTGGTGGCCTGGCCCAGTGTCCCAGTGCTCCTTCCCAGTGTCCCAGTGCTCCTGCTGGGTGTCCCAGTGCTCCTTCCCAGTGTCCCAGTGCTCCTGCCCAGTGTCCCAGTGCTTCTGTCAGCTGCCCCCACATCTGGGGGCTCCAGCAGGAGGATGTGGAGAGAGGCCGGAGGAGCCCAGGGAGCTGCTCCAAGGGATGGAGCCCCTTTGGAGCCGGGCTGGGAGAGCTGGGGGTGCTCACCTGGAGAGGAGAAGCTCCAGGGAGAGCTCAGAGCCCCTTGGGTTGGAGGGGTGGGACACAGGGAATGGCTCCCACTGCCAGAGGGCAGGGATGAATGGGATATTGGGCAGGAATTGTTCCCTGGGATGGAATTCCCAGAGCAGCTGTGGCTGTCCCTGCATCCCTGGCAGTGCCCAAGGCCAGGCTGGACACTGGGGCTTGGAGCAGCCTGGGACAGTGGGAGGTGTCCCCATTGCAGGGAATGGGATGAGTTTTAGGGAATGGGATGAGCTTTAGGGAATGGGATGAGCTTTAGGGAATGGGATGAGCTTTAGGGAATGGGATGAGCTTTAGGGAATGGGATGAGCTTTAGGGAATGGGATGAACTTTAGGGTCCCTTCCAACCCAAACCATTCCAGGATCCTGTGACGTGTTGGCTTTTCCCTGGAGCAGCCCCAGGCAGGCTGGACACTGTTCTCATTCCCGGGCTCCTGCTGCCCTTCTGAGAGGGAAGGTCAAGGGGAAGAAGGAAAACATCCACCCTGGATTGTTTTGTTTTCCCCTTAAAAATCAAAAGCAGTTTTTGTTTAAAACCATTGTGAGAACTGAATTGTCCTCAGCTCTGCACAGAACAGGAATACTTTTATTTTTTGAGTCAGTGCCAAAATACACATTCAAGTACCACGGGGTTATGTTTTCCTTGGAATTACCTTTGCATTTTGAGGTATGAGCCATTATTCCTTCTATACCAAGTCAGAATATTCGATAGTCCAAACCTTCCTTGCTGTTTCCCTTCTCCATTTATATTTTTCCATCCCCAGCTCTGGATTTTGAGCTCAGCTGTCAGGTAATTTATCCAAAGCCTGAAGTCCAGCTCCCTCAGGTATATTTTATTTCTTAGTAACTGCTCCCCATTTTATAATAACAAATAGGATTCTGGATTTCTTTATGGCTTATGGCTTGGAAAACGGGATATTCCCAGCTCAGTCCTGGGAGCAGAGTTATTGAGAATCCTCAGTAATGACCTGGTGGAGAAAACAAATTGCACATTGATTAAATGTGCAGGTGTCAGCCTGGGAGCAGTGGGAAACAGCAAAATTAAAACAGATCTGGAGAGATAGATTGGTCAGAAAGGAGGGAAAATGTCCAGTTCTGCCCGGGTTTAATGGGAAAGGAGCAGCTTTTGGTGCCCAGGGAGGGGTGGGGATGCTCTGAGGAGGAGAGGTCCCAGCTGCAGCGGAGGTGGGGACATGCTGTGGGAGCTGGATTTCACTTGGAGCACAAGGAAAATCAGATTTAGATGGGAAGATGTGGGACAGGATCATCTGAGCTGGGAAAGGGGAAATTTCCAGGGTTTGGTGGAATATTGGTGCGAGGATGGGCACGAGGAGCTGGCACCAACCTCCCTCCTTCTGCTTCCAGTTCATTCAAAAACTCTCCTTGCTCATTTTTCCTTATTTTATTTTCCCTGTTCTGCCTTCCCCAGCAGCTCTGGCTGTTTTTAATCCTAAATTTCCACGTGATTGAGGTATTGATTATTGAAAACTTCAGAAACCTGGAGCTCAGCCCAAAAACTTGGTACCGCTCGGTGCCGTGGGGTTTATTTTTATTATTTATGGGATTTGAAATAAAAGGAGTGAGGTTATAAATGGATTATTTTGGTAAGGGATTGACAATTTAAATGCAAGGTAATAATGTGTATAATCAGCACTGGAGCTGGAATGAAATCATTAGTTATTTTGGGTGAATAATTTGTGTTTTGTCACACTTCCTTGTACAAAAAGGGGTTTTATTTTTCCTGAGGTGGGATATGGGAAGCACAATTCCATGAATTCACCCCGTGGAAGCAGCCCAGCCTTGCCTGCTCTGTTTCCTTGTGTTGTGTTCTCTGCATTGGATATTAAGTGTTATTTTAGAATTAAAAATTTGAGGTTTTCCAAGTGTTCCTTCCATCAATAACATCCTGAATTTGTTGTCAGTGTTGGCACGTGACCTGTTAGTGACAGACTGGGGGAGATTCTCAATCCAGATCTGACATTTGAATTATATTTATATTTATATTTATATTCTGAATTCTGAGCTGAGATTCTGAATCCAGATCTGACATTTGAATTTATATTTATATTTATATTTATATTTATATTTATATTCTGAATTCTGATCTGAGATTTTGAATTCTGATCTGACATTTGCATTTATTGAACATTGATTACACAGTTACTGATCAGGGATTCGTTGCAAATAATTTTGTTGATAGCTATTTTAAAGCTCCTATATTTATATTTATATTTATATTTATATTTATATTTATATGTTCACATTTATATTTATATTCACATTTATATTTATATTCACGTTTATATTTATATTTTTATTTTTATTTTTATTTTAGTTATGTTCATATTTATATTTTTATTTTAGTTATGTTCTTATTTATATTTACATTTTTAAACCTGGGGGTAATTTGATGACAATGGTTCAGGGTCCATCCCTGAGCACCCTGGCAGGAGAGGGATTTTTGTGGGGTTGGAAGCTGCTCAGGGAGGCAGAAGCTGCTGCTGGAGGTGTCTGTGTGTGGATGTAGGCACAGAAATTGGGGAATATATCAGGATATGTCTGTCAGAGTTCAGGCTGGGAGCAGATGACCTTGGAGGTCCTTTCCAGGCCAAGCCAGGCTGATTCCATGTGGAGAGAGCCTGGGGATTCCCAGCAGGATGTGCTCGGTGCCTGTCCCTGGTGTGGAATGTTTGGGAGAGGCTGGACCTGCTGAGCTTGGTGGGGCTGCTGGGACAAATCCCCTTCCTGTGCCTGGCCTGGCCTTCATCCACCCCTGTCCCTTCCTGGATCTTCATCCATCCATCCATCCCTGTCCCTTCCTGGATCTTCATCCATCCATCCATCCATCCATCCATCCATCCATCCATCCATCCATCCATCCATCCATCCATCCATCCATCCATCCATCCCTGTCCCCTCCTGGATCTTCATCTATCCATCCCTGTCCCTTCCCAGCTCTTCATCCATCCATCCATCCCTGTCCCTTCCTGGATCTTCATCCATCCATCCATCCATCCATCCATCCATCCATCCATCCATCCATCCATCCATCATCCATCCCTGTCCCTTCCCAGATCTTCACCCCTCCCTGTCTGTCCCAGATCCTCATGCAGTCTGTCTGTCCCAGATCCTCATGCAGTCTGTCTGTCCCTGCAGGCCCAGAAGAATGAGCGGGAGTCCATCCGGCAGAAGTTGGCTCTGGGCAGTTTCTTCGACGATGGCCCCGGGCTCTACACGAGCTGCAGCAAGAGCGGCAAGCCCAGCCTGTCCTCCCGGTAAGCCAGAGCCCAAAACCAGCCGGGAAGTGGGAGATCTCCCCAGTGGGACAATCCAGGATCGTCCCTCACACTTGGCTCCCAAACATATTCCAGAATTTTCCGTGTTCAGAACCACATCCAACACCCGTGTGTGGTGTGAACGCTCGTCGGTGGTGTGGGGAAACACTCCCTGAGCGCTGGGCAGGAAACTTGGGATGCTGAGGGGATAAAGGAGAGGAAGATTTCCGAGTTAGGTTTTCCTTCAGGTTTTCATTTAGGGCTTGGAACAGCTGGGGCTGCCCCTGGATCCCTGGAAGTGCCCAAGGCCGGGCTGGGTGGGGTTTGGAGCAGCCTGGGACAGTGGGAGGTGTCCCTGCCTCGGATGGGCTTTAAGGTCCCTTCCAACCCAAACCATTTGGGAATTCCAACCTCCATGATTCTGGAATTGTGATTAACGATTGGGAAAGCGATTAATGCTCAGGAAGCACCAGAGGATGGACAAAATAAGCTTTAATGTGCCTTCCTGCCTCCCCTCCACTTCCAGGAGCTCCGATTCCAGACACGGCTCCATCCCTGGAGCTGCATGTGGATTCCTCCTTTGGATTTTTAAGGTTTTCACATCAAATACACTCCAGAAATTCCTGGTTGTGTTCAGCTGGGTGGAACACACTGGGGAAGAATCAAACACCTCCCGTGCTGGGAGTGAAGCTCTACCTGTTGCCATGGTCTGGGAGAAGAAAGGAGGTTTAGGGAGGCAGAAATCCAGGAGGAATCCAGGGGAGAGGTGCAGTTGTGGAATTAAATTGAGCTGCGGCTCATTTGAAAGGGAAAACAGCTTTGCTGTGTGTAGTTACAGCTGAACCAGGAGCTGCTGTCTGGTAATTAGAGCACGGCTCTAATTAACGCAGCTCATCAGGGTTTGGCAGCTGTGCCCCCAGAAATTGCCAGCTGTGCCTGAAGGATTTGGTGGTTGTTAATATTTATAATCCAGGAGGAGCATTCCCTGTTCTGGGACCTGCAGGAACATTTGCAGGACGTTATTCCCGTGTTTTTCTCTGTAATTACAGAGTGGGATCACGGAATTCTTGGCTTGGGAGGGACCTTAAAGCTCATCCAATTCCCTCTCCACGGGCAGGGACTGTTCCACTACCCCAGGCTGCTCCAAACCCTGCCCAGGCTGGCCTGGAACAATTCCAGGGATGTGGCAGCCGCAGTTTCCTCACCAGGATCTCATCACCTTCGTGAATAAACAATTATTAATTCTGTTTATTTTGTGGTAATAGTAACTAATGAACTGCACAGAAATCAATGGAAAACAGGAGTTTGCTGTTTCCCACACTGGGAATAACGGGATGTGGGGATGGATTGGGATCTCTCACAGCCTGCACTGGGATTCCCTGATCCTGGATCAGGGGAACAGAGTCCTGGATTTCTCTGCATCCAGAGAAAAATCATTTCTGGGGAGGGGAATGTGGCTGGGGTTAATCAATTTATTCTTTATCTGTAAATAATTTTTATAGTTTTTTATAAAATATGTTCCATACCTTTTATTGTTTTTTATAGATTTTATATTGACATGTGTGCTATTTATAGCCTTATACATGACTCTTTCATTTTTTATTCTTTAAATAAAAACATAAAATAAATAGTGGTGACACTGAGGGGAAGGTGACAGTGAGGGGATGGTGGCAGTGAAGGGATGGTGACACTGAGGGGATGGTGACACTGAGGGGATGGTGACACTGCAGGGATGGTGGCACTGAAGGGATGGTGGCACTGAGGGGATGGTGACACTGCAGGGATGGTGGCACTGCAGGGATGGTGACACTGAGGGGATGGTGGCACTGAGGGGATGGTGACACTGAGGGGATGGTGGCACTGAGGGGATGGTGGCACTGCAGGGATGGTGACACTGAGGGGATGGTGACACTGAGGGGATGGTGGCACTGAGGGGATGGTGGCACTGAGGGGATGGTGACACTGCCAGCCCTGGAACATGTCAGTGCCAGCTCTCCGTGTCCCCCCAGGCTGCAGAGCGGGATGAACCTGCAGATCTGCTTCGTCAACGACAGCGGCAGCGACAAGGACAGCGACGGCGATGACAGCAAGACAGAGACCAGCCTGGACACACCCCTGTCACCCCTGGTGGGTCTGGGACCCTTCCTTCCCTCCTTCCCTCCAAAGGAGGTCCGGCTGGGAGTCACTCTGATTTTTAAGCTCACTCTGATTTTTAAGCTCACTCTGATTTTTCAAGACAATCCCATGGATTAAGATCAGAAATAACTCCATGCCCTTCCCAGTTTCTGTAGGATAAAAAGCACAGGATTAGGTCCAACTCCGCTGTGGCTTCTTTGCTTCCCCAGAGCAAGCAGAGCTCGTCCTACTCGGACCGAGACACGACGGAGGAGGAGTCGGAGTCTCTGGAGGACATGGATTTCCTCAGCAGGCAGAAGAAGCTCCAGGCTGAGGCCAAGATGGCCCTGGCTATGGCAAAGCCCATGGCCAAGATGCAGGTGGAGGTGGAGAAGCAGAACAGGAAGAAGTCACCGGTAGCGGATCTGGTGAGAGAGACCGGGAGAGACAGTGGGGTGACCCCACTGGAGCAGGGAATGGCTCTGGGAGCAGGGAATGGCTCCAGGAATGGCTCTGGGAGCAGGGAATGGCTCCAGGAATGGCTCTGGGAACAGGGAGTGGCTCCAGGAATGGCTCTGGGAGCAGGGAATGAGATGCTGGAGCAGCTCTGGGAACAGGGAATGCCTCTGGGAGTGGCTCTGGGAGCAGGGAATGAGATGCTGGAGCAGCTCTGGGAGCAGGGAATGCCTCCAGGAATTGCTCTGGGAACAGGGAATGCCTCTGGGAACAGGGAATGAGATGCTGGAGGCTCCTCCAGGCTGCTCCTCCTCTGGCCTGGAGCCTCTCCATCCCATCCTGGAGCTCTCCTGACTCGCTCCAGGGTTGCCACCATCACCCTCAGCCACAATTCCAGCAAATATTCCCATCCTGGTTTGGTGGTGACGGCTGAAATCCGCTTGGAGGAATCATTGTGAGGGGGGAATGCAAACCTGAGGGGACAAACTGCTCAGAACCAGAAATAATGGGAAGGAAACAGAAAAATATTGGAGGGAAACAGAAAAATATTGGAGGGAAACAGAAAAATATTGGAAGGAAACAGAAAAATATTGGAGGGAAACAGAAAAATATTGGAGGGAAACAGAAAAATATTGGAGGGAAACAGAAAAATATTGGAGGGAAACAGAAAAATATTGGAGGGAAACAGTAAAATATTGGAGGGAAACAGAAAAATACTGGAATTAAGCAGTAAAATATTGAATATTTCTTTCCAGCTGCCACATTTGCCTCATATAAGTGAATGCCTGATGAAGAGAAGTTTAAAACCCACCGACCTAAGGGACATGACCATTGGGCAGCTACAGGTGATAGTCAATGACCTGCACTCACAGATAGAAAGTAAGTGGTAATTAATTAAGGCCTAAGCATTAATTAATTATGTAGTTATTAATATTAATAATTAATTTAAAAAGAAAATAATGCTCTGTATTAAAATAATTCTTGATTATTCAATTGTTAAATAATTTATGGTTAATTATTCTGGGGTTTGTCTCCTTTAATTAAGAACACTTCTCTGGGATAAATAAAAATATTCCTCATGGAAAGGGGTGTCCAGCCCTGCAGGGATTTAAAAACCCTGTGGATGTGGAACCTGGTGGGGAAAATCCCAAGCTGGGATCCCCCAGGACATCCCAAACTGATCCCATTTTCCCCTGGATCAGGCTTGAACGAGGAGCTGGTGCAGCTGCTGCTGATCCGGGACGAGCTGCACACGGAGCAGGATGCCATGCTGGTGGACATCGAGGATCTCACCAGGTGAGGATGGAATTTCTCTCTGCTCACAGCTCCCTTTTTGCCAGCAGCACCACCTGGGGGTTTTCCTCCAGCAGAATTTTGGGAATAAAGCTTTTGCCATCCGGGATATTGGGAAGGAATTGTTCCCTGGGAGGGTGGGGAGGGGCTGGGATGGAATTCCCAGAGCAGCTGGAAGTGCCCAGGGCCAGCTTGGAGAGGGATCTTTGCCATCAGGAGGGCTGGAGAAGGAGGAGAGCTTTGGGATATTAATATTTGATATCTGCTAAAACAAAAAGCCTTGCAGGATCCAGGCAGGTTCCCTTGAGGGCTCCATCCCCTGGCAGCCAGGCCCAGGAGGAGTTTTCGTTTGGGATAATTAGGGATGGGCTTCAGAAATAGAAAATGTTGAGAAATATTCTGAATATTTTGTTCAGAAATGTAAAGACTGGGGATGAGGGGAGCTGGAGAGGCCCTGGGTGCTGTCAGGACTGTGACTCCAAACCGAAGCATTAACCAGGATCAGGTGGAGAGGGGGAAGTTTGGGATGGGAGCTGGAGCTGGCAGTGCCACCTCCTGCCCCAGCTTCTCCTCCTTTGCCCTGGGAAGTGCTTGATTTCCTCCCTGCAGTCCCTGGCAGCTCCATAAAATGGCATTTTTTGGGAATGCTGGGGGTAAAGGTGCTGGCCATCCCTGTGGGAAAGGATGGAAAATCTCAGATTTTCTCTCTCCAAGCCACTGCAGGGTTTAGAGAAAGCCCAAAGGAGCTTCCCTGGCTTTTCACACACCCTCCTGCCAGGAGGAGATCCACAAAAACCTCATTTTTCCCTGGGAAAACACAATTCCCAGCTCCTCCTGGAGCAGGTGGGTTGGCTTTTCCATCCTTTCCCAGGGAATAACATCCTGTTATAGATACATATCATATTGTTGGTTTTCACAAATATTAAAATGAATGTTATATGTATAAGATTGGAAAAATTTGTTATATTAGTATAGTTTCCTTTATTTCTGTTATTGGTGAAACTTTGTGGTATAATATACATATGTTAAGCTATGGCATAGTATTAAAACAAAAACTGCTTTTGTTTGTATAACCCAAAGACTGAAAAAGATAATTAGAGACCCCCCTGCATTCTTAGATTATCTTATCCAGATAAAGACAGCAGTGACCAGAGCTCTGGGGGGAGGAATTTATTGCATTTCTGTTATCAGGGAATGTAAAACTCGGTGGAGCCAAGAAAACTGATTTATTGGGAAGGGAGTGAGTCAAAAAACTAAACAAAGAAACATCCAAAACTTAAGAAGAATGTTTGAATATGTATGAGAATTTATGGATATGTAGTAGGATTCTGTTTTTAAGGAACAATCCTTTATTAGTGAGGTGAATGCAGAGACACCCAGCCATATCTGTAAAGTTTATTTTTATCTCCTAATTGTCTTTTTAATTAAACTTCTAAATTCTATAAAAAAAAAAATCTGTGGACCTGTTTTTTCACAAGCCCTTTTTTTCCCACCCCAGGCACGCCGAGAGCCAGCAGAAGCACCTGGCAGAGAAGATGCCAACCAAGTGAATCCCTCCTCTGCCTCTGCCCAGGGAATTCCAGAGTCCCACTCCTGCTCATTGACCATGTCTGAAGCTTTCTGTCTGGTGATTGGCCTCTTGCTTCTTAATTTATTTTAATTTTTTTACTCGTGCCACTAAATATCAGGCGTTTTAATTAATAATAATAATAATAATAATAATAATAATAATGATGTTATTATTATTCCAGAAACAAAGAGAATTGTACAGTACTTATAACATTATAAATCATGGGTGAGAAGAGAGGGTAGTTTAACTTTATTTTTTTGGTTGTTTAGAGCTTTTTTTTTTGGGGGGGTTGGATGATATTTTACCATTGACTACTTTTTTATTCCCCACTGTAGTTTTCAAATAAAAAACCTGTTCTTGACGGTGCTATACAAGTCAACAACAAAAAAATCCATGCCTGCCTCGTAGTGACGTCGTAGCTTTCAGTAATTTGTACATTTTCCTCAGTTCTCAGCATTCTGGGGGATGTTCTCTCCCTGACATTCGTTTTTAGGTGTGCTATTAACACGAGCTGGGGCGCAGAGAGTTGGAAGTTTTTCTGTAAAAAGCTGTAAAATAAAAATTACCACCATTGTTTCCTATGACACGTCTGTTTGTTGCCAAGGGGGTGAATCCTCCCAGCTGAATGTGTCATTTATCATCACCAGAAAGAGCCTTTTTTGGGGGGTTTTTTTGGTTTTTTTTTTTTTTTGCCTTGCTGATCACACGAAACTGAGAGAAGAGAGAGGGGTTTTGTAGAGTAATTCATTTGTAAGTTCCTAATTCTGTTTCACATGGACTTGAAAGATTCTTCTTTCCCACTGAATTTGTGATGGTTGGAAGCAGCAAACACAACACCCCAGGTGGGCTTTTTAATGTTTCCTTGTCCGGGCTGAACATTTAAATGAAATTTTAGAAATGAAAAGAATAATCCGTGGTGAAAAACGGGCAGCAAATTAAATGGATTAAATCTGGAATTCCTCCCTCTGCCTTCAGGAGAGGCTCAGAGCTGAGTGCTGGCTGTAGAGGAGGGGACACTGGGACAAAATAAATTTGTCTCCATCCCTCTTTTATTGGATTTAAAGCTGGAAGAGCCCAGCCAGCCCAGCCTGGTGCTCCCAGCAGCTTTTTACCTTTTAATTCTCATTTCCTCGGGGGCAAATCCATCCCAGCCAAGGGATGCCTGATGACTTATTCAGGGTGTTTGCAAAAAGCCTCAGCTGCATTAAAATTTCATCTCCTGCCAGGAATGGCTTTTATTAAAGCTCTTTTTTTTTAATTAAATGAGGTTTTTTTCTCCCTTTTTTATGTTTTTGCAGGAAGGGCAGGGTTGGAAGCAGCCCTTGGAGGGGTTTGGGGGCTGGGATGGGGTTTGGTTTAATTTGGGGAGCGATTGGATGGATCAGGAACCCTCACCTGCAGCCCAGGAATAAAACAACCCTTCCTTATTTTTAAATCTCTGCAGAAAATACAGAGAAATATCGGGGTGTTGATTTCCCTGCACATGGGCAGAGCTGCTGGGTTCAAATTCTCCCTCCAAAGGTGAAATTTTCCCCCCAAACCCCCAAATTTGCAGTCTCTGACCCCAAAACCTCTCCATGGGAAGCAGCTCTGGGGCTTGGGGAGGAGCTGCCTCCTGCTGTATTTAAAGCAAAAAAAAAAAGCCCCAAATACACAAAATTTCCTCTCAGCTTTAAGGAAAAAAATAGAAAAATAAAAGCAAGAAAGCCCCTGGGGAATCCCAGAGCTCCCTCTGGCCCCATCCAGCTCTGGAGCAGCGGGATGGGGCAGCCTGGAAAAGCTGGAATTCCATTCCCTTGCCAAGTGCCTTTGATTTGCTGGAGAGAATTTGTTATTCCACTCACCCACCCCTGGTTTCCCCCTCCTGTCCTGGGGGGATTTGGGTTTTTCCAGGAAAAAATCCTGTTCTGGGTGTCCTTGGCTGGGTGTCCTGAGGGGTGCTGTGGATGATGGCAATGCTGGAATTGATGGATTAAAGGATATTTCTGAAAGACAAGGATCTGCTGTGGTTTCTGAGCGAGATTTTGGGTTTGTGTTTCACTCCTGGCTCCCACTCGGAGCCTCCTGAATCCTCCTGGGTGGGTTTTGATTCCCAAAAAAAGCATGGAGCATCTCCCACAGGATGCCAGGCTGGGAATTGTTTTCCAGCTGGTCTCAAACCACAACATTCCTCAAGAGTTTGAATTCTCATCCCAAACCCACCTGAAAATCCTGAAATAAATCAAATAAACAACAACCCCAAATCATCCCCGTGGCTGAGCCCAGGTCCTGCTGGGGTGGATTCCTCTCCCTTGGGAACTGGGATGAGCTCCCTGAGCCGGCTGCATGCTTTGGCTTCCCCTTTTTGGGATTTTGGGTTCTTTTCTTGGCTCCTGGGTGGGATGGGCAGGATCTCCCCGGACACAGAGTGGGAGAGGGAAAGGAAGGGAAATCCTGGCTGCTCCATCCCTGGAAGTGCCAGCTTGGACACTGGAGCAGCCTGGGGACAGTGGGAGGTGTCCCTGCCATGGCAGGGCTGCGATGAGATGATTTTTAATGTCCCTCCCAACCCCAAACCGTTCCATAAATTCCATTTCATTCCATAAAAACCACACTCACGGCCCTTTTCTCTTCTTTTCCACCCTCCAAATGAGCAGCACTGATGAACTGCTGAGCAGGAAGGCTCAGCTGAGACATTTTGGGATCTCTCCAGCCCGCTCCAGGACATCCCTGCTGCCTCACACCCTGCCAGGGAAGGTGAAGGGCTCCCAAATTTTCCCTCCCCGAAGCAAAGCCACCCTTCAGGCCAGGGGAGGCTGGAGCTGACCTCCCTCCCACCCCCCTGACACATCCCAGGCCTCTTCCCAGCCAGTTTCTCTTCCCTCTTCCCATAAAGCAAAGGAAAGTCTGTGTCCAGGGCTGGCCTGAGCACCCCCAGGAATTCCCAGCAGCCAGGAATTCTCCAGCTGGGATCAAATCAGCTGAAATCTGCTTTTCCCGGCCCTTGGCTGGGATCAGCCCTTCCCTCAGATCCTTCCCAGCGGGGAAATGTTTATAAAGATTGGGATAAAGAGCAGAGAAAGCACCCGGAGCTGAGAAATTCTGTCAAGGGTGAAAACTGAAAGTGAGAGAGAAAGAGCTCCCCGAAAGTGCCACGAAACCACGGGCACAGCTGGCAGCACCCACACAGCCAGCATGAGCTCACAGCATTCCCAAAATTCCAGGGGAAGCAGCTCCCCCATCCAGCCCCTGCTGCTGCTTCCTGAAGGTTTTAATTCCAAATAACTCTGGGGAGATTTAAAACAAACCCCACACGGGGTCATAAAATCCAGGAATGGGTTGGGTTGGGAAGGGACCTTAAATGCCAGTTCCATGGGCAGGGAATGGGAATAATTCCAAATTTGGGAATAATTCCAAAGCTGTGGGCTGGGCTGCGATGTTCCTTTGTGTTTATTCCATAGAATCATAAAATCATGGAATGGTTTGGGTTGGAAGGGCCCTCAAAGCTCATCCAGTTCCACCTTCCATGGTCCCAGGGTGCTCCAGGCCCCATCCAGCCTGGCCTTGGGCACTTCCAGGGATAGGGAATCCACAATTCCCAGAGGGAATCCACAATTCCTCTGGGAATCCACAGTTCCTCTGGCCTGGGGCCTCCCCACCCTCCCAGGGAAGAATTTCTCCCTGATATCTTCTCCTCCCGGCTCAGTGGGAGAAATTCCCTGCCCAAAATTCCCCCTGTGGGCTTTGGAGGGAATCCCAAGCTCCATCCCTTTCCCGGGATGAATCCCTTACCCTGGAGAGGGGATTGGAGCAAGGAATGACTTCTGGATTTGGGGATCCCAAGGCTGGGTGGTCCCTGGAGTGCAAGAGCCGGGATCCAGCACGGATCATGGGGAAAACCTCGGGAATTCCGGTGGCAACTGGAATAAAGAGCCAGGAGATGCAGGTGAGCATCTCGAGCCAGGATTTTGGAGGTTCCAGCAGCCCAGGAAAGCTTCAGAAACCATTTCATCACCCCCTGATGAAATGCCAGCAAAAGCAGAGGTTTGGGATTAGGAATTTCATGGAATTTCATGAGGAATAAGAACCAGCAGCCACAAAAAAACACCAGGAATGTTGCTCCTGACCCTTTTCCCCCTGTATTTTATGGAGCAAACAGATCCCAACCCCAATCAGAAACAACTTCTGTCAGTGAGGCTCTTCTGGGGATAAATCTGACCTTGGATCTTCCCAAAAAATGATCCAGAAGCAAAAAAAAGGATTCAATATTCCACAAGTTCTGTGAGTGGCAAACAGGATCCAACTGATTTCATTTCCTGCATCCAGAAATCCCAATCCAGGCATTTATTCCCATTTTTTTAGTGGGGCAGTGATCTCTGTCTGCAGCTCACCGTCAGCCTGGGTGGGATTTAATCATCCTGTGGCTTTAATTGATATTTTACTGTGATTACTGTTTAATTAGAGATATAAAATTATTGCTAATGACCATGCCAGCCCTACAAAGATCCAAACCCTTCCCACCGAGGATGTCACGAGTGACTCTGTGACCTTCCCAAAGGGTTTGGAGCCTGTGAATGAGGAAAATCCATCAAATTCCAAATTCCAGGAGAAACAACATCCCCCAGCTGGGAGGGAACATCCCTAAAGCTCATTTCCCTCCAAGCACAGTGTGATTCCCACCATCCTTACCTGGAAATCGGGATGTCCTTCACTTCCCTGGGCCAAAACGAAGCCAAAAAATTCAATTTCTGTTTATTGAAAAGGAGAAAAACCACAAGAGTGAAACAAAAAGCCGGGACATTTCCAGGAACCTCCTGATTTTCCAGCAGAGAGAGGCTGGAGCTGATCCCAGTTCTCATCACTCGACTCCCCAGGACTCAAAACCAAACTGAGCACAGCCCTTGGGCCTCGGGGCTTTTCTCAGCCACTTTCTTTCTGATTTTGTGTTTTCCCTTTCCTTTTTATTTTTCATTTATTAATTTGTATTGGTTCGGGTGAGGGAGGAGCCAGGGATTCCCCAGATTTTGACTGCATTAGATCAAATCTGATTTTGTAGAGAGCCAGAACCATCCTCGTTTTTCTCTGGAGGATAATTCTGACAAAAGAGATTTCTGCTTGGAATGCAGGCAGTGGAATTGTATTTTCCTGTGGAAAATCCTACGGCTGCTAACACATTTATAACTTAACAGTTACATGGTTTATATATACATATGGATGTATAATATAGAATATACAATGTATGATATAGAATATACAATGTAGAATATAGAATATACAATGAATAATATATATATTAACTATATATTAAATTAAATAAAATATTATATATTATATATTATACATTATACATTATACATTATATATTATATATTATATATTAATTATATATTATATATTATATATTATATATTATATATTATATATTATATATTATATATTATATATTATATATTATATATTATATATTATATATTATATATTATGTATTATGTATTATGTACAATGATAAGATATAAGATATAAGATATATGTATGTATAATATATAATATACAATGTATAATATCTCATATCTCATATTTAATATCTAATATATAATATATGATTAATCTATAATCTATAATCTATAATATATAATATATAATATATTATATATATATAATATAACATATAATATATAAGAGACACAAATAATATATATTTAATCTATATTTATTATACAAATTATGCTTATTATACAAATTATATTTATTATACAAATTCTATTTATTCTATTTGTTCTATTTATTCTATTTATTCTATTTATTCTATTTATTCTATTGGGCAGGCCCTGGCCCAGGGGGAAGCTGTGGCTGCCCCTGGATCCCTGGCAGTGCCCAAATCCAGGCTGGACAGGGCTTGGAGCAGCCTGGGACAGTGGGAGGTGGAAATGGATTTTTGGTGTTTGCCCCAAGCTGCTCAAGGAGTAATTAATGACCTCATTTAAATATATTCTAATGTGTAAAACACATTCTTTTACTCTAACATGATTCATGTAAATATTAATTATCAAGAGTTTTCATTCAGGCGAAGCCTGCTCAAGCAGAGGAGCTTTGAGATGAAGGAGGAGGAGGCAGATTTCTTCTTCCATTGGAAAAAAAACCAATTTCACTCACCAGAATTCAAATCCCAGAATCCTGGAATGGTTTGGGTTGGGAGGGATTGAATCCCATCCCAGCCCTGCCATGGCAGGGACACCTTCCCCTGTCCCAGGCTGTTCCAAACCCACCCAGCCTGGCCTGGGGCACTTCCAGGGATCCAGGGACAGCCCCAGCAGGGATTACAGGAGAAATCTAGAGGATATAATTAGGAAATATTCCAATTTAACAACAAATTAATCCCAAATCCCACCCCAGCGCTGACCCTGTGGGGAAACCTCGTGTCCTGGTGGGAGCAGAACCCTGGAAAGCCGAAGTGGTGCCTTTGAGGAACAGCCCTGCAGCACATCCCAAAATTCTCTTTCACTTTTGGCTCTCAGAAGAAGCGGCTCCTCCACGAGCTGGAAACCACAGCCCGCCGTGAAATGACGGGGCAGAGGTGGGAAACACAGAGAGAAATTGGAAAATGAGGCACTGCTGGTATTGGAGCTGAAAGAAGTCTCAGGACCCGTCACAGCCTTCTTATAGGAAACAGTGAAAATAAAAAGAATCTGAAAATGCAATATAAAACTCTTGATTCATCCTGCTCCCTCCCAGTTTGACAGCAAAAATCCCGGTGACTTCACGGCAGTCCCAATGCACAGAAAAGTTTCTCGGTGCAGCTGAGAATGACCATGAAAAAACAGGAGCTGAAATTGAAATATTTGTCCATTATTCCAAATATTTCAGCAAAATCAAACATTCGGGCAGGTTTCCATCAGTGAGGTTTTGTCATCACAAAATCAGAGAGTCGTGGAATGGTTTAGGATGGAAAATATCCCGAAGTTCTTTGAGTGGAACCATTTCCCAGCTCTGCCAAGGCCGCCCCTGTCCCCAAGTGCCACCTCCTCCTCCTTCCAACCCTTTCCATGAAGGAATTTCTCCTAAAATCCAACACGGATCTCCTCTGGTGCAACCCGAGGCTGTTTCCTCTTGTCCCGTCTCTTTTCCATTGGGAAGAAAGCAGGATAAAGAATGGAAATGGAAAAGCTGGAGACGATTTCCGAGGGCTGGAGCGACAGAAGAGAGAGGGAACGGCTTCAGAGAGAGAGAGGAGGAGGTTTAGTGGGATATTGGGAAGGAATTCCTGGCTGGGAGGGTGGGGAGGGGATTCCCAGGGAAGCTGTGGCTGTCCCTGGATCCCTGGGGCAGTGGGACGCGTCCCTGCCATTGGAACGAGAAATCTTTAAGGTCCTTTCCGACCCAAACCATTCCATGATTTTGGGATCCCATGGAAGTTTATCGCGCACGAGCCAATCCCGTTTTTCTGGAAGCTGCTGGGGCAGGGTCCGAGGAGGGAGCTCCGGCCCCGCGGCATCCCCGGCCCCGGGCGGGATTCCCGGCCCCGCCGCTCTCGGGATGAGCGCGGCCGGCCCGGGGGGAATCCCGCTCGTCCCGCGGCCCCATAAGAGCCGGTCCCGGCGGGGAGCCACGGCACAGAGATGGAGCGGAGCGGCAGCACCGGGAACGGCACAGGGAGAGCCGGGAACGGCACCGGGAACACCGGGAACAGCACCGGCAACAGCACCGGGAACATCGGGAGCGGCACCGGGAACGGGACCAGAAGCGGCTCCAGGAACACCGGGAGCGGCACCAGAGATAACACCAGAGATAACATCGGGAACAGCACCGAGAGCGGCTCCAGGAACACCGGGAATGGCACCGGGAATAACGCCGGGAATGGCACCGGGAATAACGCCGGGAATGGCACCGGGAATAACGCCGGGAATGGCACCGGGAGCGGGCGGGCAGCGCCGCCTGGCGGGGCCGTCCGGGCATTGCTGTGCCTGGCGCTGCTGCTGGGCCCGGCCCGGGCTCTGCCCAGGGCAGTCCGGGCACTGCCCACCCCTGTCCGGGCACTGCCCACCCCTGTCCGGGCTCTGCCCAGCGCAGTCCGGGCACTGCCCACCCCTGTCCGGGCACTGCCCACCCCTGTCCATCCACTGCCCACCCCTGTCCGGGCACTGCCCACCCCTGTCCGGGCTCTGCCCACCC